GTCACGCTGGACCAAGGCGAGGGAAAGGATGGAGGGTGACACGCGATTCCAGGCCGTCGAGAGCTCTGGGCAGCGCGAGGAGTGGTTTCGACAGCATGTCGAAAAACTGGCAAAGGTAAATTTCGATTTAAAGCTTTCGTGACTGCAATGATTCATCTTCTTTGGTTCTTTCGGTAAAGTCACGTAGAATGAGAATAAAATAATAAATTGATAAAATAAAATAACACAATAATATTCTCACGACGTTTTGGCCACAACACAAGCGGCCTTCATCAGGTGAAGGGGCGTGAGAATATTATTGTGTTATTTTATTTTATCAATTTATTATTTTATTCTCATTCTACGTGACTTTACCGAAAGAACCAAAGAAGATTGGCAAAGGTAGCATACGAAAGTCACGTTTAGTGCCCAAGTTGTGCTCTTCATGTTCTGCGTTGGTTATTGAGCAGCGAAGTTTCATTTGACAATGACTAACAACCTATATATTAATAAATGAGACAGACTACTGCAAAAGAATCATAGTCTCCTTCAGACTATAATCCCTTTACTGTAGTTGAAAAATCTCATGAAAATTTAAGCTGGTTTTCCCCAACTAATCTACAGTAAGAGAATTGGAGTCTTTTTCAGTCATTATCTCCTTTATGTAACGTTGTAATCGTCTCGATTGTTAATATATATGCTGGTGCACTCCAAATATTTCCATGAGTATTTATAGTAGTCCCAGCTTGCCTCACTTGTGTTCAGAGTTTCACGTGTTTGCATAAGTTTTTGACGAAACGTCCAAGCCCGCCCGTTGCAGCTTTCGTACGCGAGGAGCGCCACTCACGACTTTGGGATGTGTTCTCCCGACGCAGGCCGGGGACTCTGAGCGCGAGCGGGAGCTGGAGCGGCAGGCGCGCACGGAGGCGAGCCTGCGTGAGCGAGAGCGCGAGGTACAGAAGGCGCGATCGGAGCAGACGCGCGAGATCGACCGCGAGCGGGAGCAGCACAAGCGCGAGGAAGCCATCCAGCACTTCAAGGCTCTCCTGTCCGACATGGTGAAATGACACATTCCCGTCGCCGAGGCTCGATTGACGGCCGATTTGTGTCTTTACGTGCGGCTTGAAAGGGAATGATCGCGTAACGCCACGTACATTTTTTGTTTGTTTAATGCTAAAACAAAGTATTCATGCGTTGCCCTGTGGAAAATTAGAATTTTTAAGCTGAGAAGGCAATGTGACCAAAAAAAATGTATATGCATGTATGTATGAGACAGGGAAGACTCCACAGATCTATATAGCAGAACATTACACATACCCCAGAGAATGTATAATTTTGGGAAGAAGAGTAGGAAATTACAGATGGCGCAATTGAATGAGCAGCCATTGCCCTTGGCGGTATGAAAATTGGAAAAGTCTCAAAATAGATTCAATAACTGTATGAACGTCATTAAAAAAAATCAGGAACAAATTAACTGGCACATTTACTAATTTTTTCATATAGAAATGGAATACCACAATCGTAAATTGATGGTTCAATTTTTATATTCACAAAACATAAGACAAAACTGAATTTTTGAATTACAGAACCTGTCATGTACATTAATTCTTCTCGTGAATCATAGGAAACCGCATAATGGAGGGATTAAAGGTCAATCAGCCAAGCGATTGAACTAGATTTCCATGCGCCACATATATACTATCTATTAGATATGAATGCCAAATAGACTATGAAAAGGTATTTGATGAAGTGGAAATAGATCAATCGTTCAAGGTCTCAAAAACCAAAACTTTATACAAATTGTGTAGATTTTATTAAAACCAGTTATAAAGGTAGAACATCTACACTGAGATTACATTAACGCAGTAACAATATACATCACAAGATTAGTTTGACAACGATTTTTTTCCTATGATCAGGCTGGATAAATTAATACATTAACATAAATGGATATGTGAATCACATTTTATTACCAATGGAAATAAACTACAGGATATGATTAAAGAACTTAAAAGTGAAGGCTTCAAAGTCACGCAAGTGATGTTCAACAAGTTCCCGAAATAATATTCTGTAGAGATGCTAATGGGAAATACAACAGAATACTTATGCCTAGAGCAGATATTTAAAGCATATCAATATCAAACTTATAAAATAAAGAAGCCGATGAGAGCAGGATTGCGCTTTTGGAAAATCGAATGTGATAACCAAAAGCAAGAATTTAATCTTGATTTGAAGCTCTTTGGTACTTACGTTAAAGTCACGTAGGTATAAAATAAATAACGACGTTTCGGGCGCAGCACAAGCGTCCGTCATCAGGTGGGAAAGCATGGTCTGCTGCTGAGACATTAACATCATGCTAATCTCTCACATTAACATAGCCACTTCCGTGCCCTCTCATTTCTCACGTGAACATCATGCTAATCTCTCACATTAACATAGCCACTTCCGTGCCCTCTCATTTCTCACGTTAATATCATGCTAATCTCTCACATTAACATAGCCACTTCCGTGCCCTCGTCGAGGGGGGCGCTTTCCTTCTTTTCCACAGTTACATGCTAATTTCTCACATTAACATCATGCTAATTTCTCACATTAACATCATGCTAATTTCTCACATTAACATCACTAGCCCCGGCCACTTCTTTGACCCTTGGGCTACACCCATTTCAAACCTTTTAAAACAGTCTGCCTCAGCAGCAGACCATGCTTTCCCACCTGATGATGGACACTTGTGTTGCGCCCGAAACGTCGTGATTTATTTTATTTTATACCTACGTGACTTTATCCGAAAGAACCAAAGAGCAATAATTTAATATTTACTTGATGACCCAGCTTCGTAGGCTTGAAGTGCTAAGTGTACCTCGTAATATAAATTATTTCAAAGCGTAGCGTAAAAATTGTTTGCATCTTATTTGCTATTGAAGGTGCGCTCTTCAGAGGTTAATTGGGATGACACGCGGCGATCGCTACGCAAAGACCACCGCTGGGAGCTGGCCTCATTACTGGACCGTAGCGAGAAGGAGAAGTTGTTCAAGGAGCACGTTGATGCCTTGTCCAAGCGCAAGAAGGAGCAGTTCAAGCAGCTCTTGGATGAGACTTCGGAGGTGAGTAAACATTCACTTTACGTGCAGCATATTGCCACATTCGACAATTCAAAATGTAAGCATATTAGGACTGCAGATGCCGTGTAAAAAAAATCTTAATTTGTTTATGTATCCGTTGAAAGTGCAATGCCAGATACAGCAGTTGCTAGAATATTACATTTGTATACCTGCCAGTTGCTCCACATCCAATCCAGAATCAACTTTAAGATCACACCATCTTCGTTCTAGGAGAGTCGGTCAACATGGTTGTTTCCAAAAAAAACATTGACGGTGTAAATTTAGAACAATTGTGATTTTACTCTTAATGGAGCGCCAAGTATACTGTATTTGAATAGGTAATGTTTGCGTTGTTTAATTAAAATTAAAACATCTAAACACTCGTACATTTTGAAATAATTGATTTTGAATGTTTCATTAACATGGTTAACGACTAACAGTGAGCATGTGTGTGTGTGTGATTGATGCAGATAACGTTGACGTCCACGTGGCGTGAAGTTCGAAAGCTGATAAAGGAGGATCCACGGTGTTCTAAATTTTCGTCCAGTGACCGGGTGAGCAAACCTTCAATTTCAACTCTTTTCCACTTTTTTGCTCAAATTGTGTACATTACCATCATTGTTTTTGGACTTCATTGTGTCATAATGTATCACACACTCTAAGGCCCTCTGCTGTTTCTTCTGTATATTTTTTTTACTCGTACAGAAAAAGGAGCGTGAATTTGACGAATACATTAAAGAAAAAATGGTTGCAGCCAAAGCAGAGTTCCGAAATCTGCTGAAGGAGACCAAATTCATTACTTACAGGTAGGTCCAATGTCTCTTCACACTGTGCTGGTGAAACGGGTTTAACTTTCTTATGGGTCTTGCCTATCATTCCTGCTTTTGGAGTTTTATTTATTTTGCATGTATTTCTTGCTTGTACATTTTTGAGGGGAGAAATAATAACCACCAACGTGATTGTAGAGATGTTTATAGAGTTCAAATTGTTTTTTTACGAATAAACTGTCATTTATATTTATATACTGCACACATTTGTGGAACGTAATAATTTAGCAGCGTTAACGTAGGTTTAGTAATAAATAAGGTTTGCCATTGGCGGTTGTTCGAACAATCAGATTTGGTGACGTGTAATATTTTTAAGGATAGAGTTTGCGAACAAAGATTTATAAAACTTCACTCTTTATTTGAGTGGCTAGAAGATACCAGCCCAGAAAATGGGTTTTATGAACACAAATTGTGCACCTTTGAGTGTTTTCCAGTTGTATATATAAATGGGTTCTCTCTGGGGACTCGATGAATCTCCCACGCAAAATGTTATTGAAAAAATGATTTGCTAAACATCCCAATGCAGGACCCTTCCACAAAGATATTGACACTCAGGTGGGGCTTTTCTTCATAATTAAGTAAATATATATATCCGTGGCGTGCACGTCCGCCGTTTTCAGGTCACGCAGGATGATTGAGGACACGGAGCACTTGCGGGACATAGAGAAGGTCCTGCAGAATGACAAGCGCTACCTGGTGCTGGAGTGCGCGTCTGACGAGCGGCGCAAGATGATCTTGTCCTACGTGGAAGACCTGGACCGACGCGGGCCACCACCACCCCCAACCGCCTCCGAGCCCACACGCCGCTCCAACAAATAAAGCACTCGCATGTTCTCCGCAAGGCCCGTCCGTCCCTCCCCCCCCCCCCTTCCCGGCTAACTGTTTTAGTGTCCCATTTCCATCACAGCCATCATCCAAAAACAAACTGCCTATATCTGTGAAATTGGAGCAACCCTCGGCTTGAATTTAAAACGTGTTTTTTTAATTTAAAAACTGAAGAGTCTAAGCCCACACTGGTGTACAAGTTGTAGTTATTTTGTTTTTAGCAGTTGAAAAATAATCCTTAAAACACACACTCATTGACAATGTGCTATCCATTTATTTTTTGTTTGTCATCTCCCATGTGTCAAAGAGGCAATGTTTGTGAGTTTTGCAAGATTTTTTGTATATCTGTCATTAACACCACCAATGATCATATTAACATCACACAACACAGCTTAAATTCAGTTATGGATTTCCCAGTGTGCTATTACATCAGGTTTAAATCTTTACAAAGGAAAACTTTTATCCGGAATTGTGATGAGCATGTACATTCATTCATTGTTTGGCTTTTAGTACTTGCTTTGGAGAGTGGTTTATATTGATGCATAGCATAAGACGTTTTTGTTGCTTCTGACACCTTTAAAATGCAAGCACATTTGCGACTAATATGTGGAAGACAAATGTGTTTACGTAACTATGCGCATTAAGATTTCACAGATTAAGTTAAATTGTTTTTATCAATGGGTCTAAAATACACAGCTTTATAACATGGAGTGGCTGCTGTTGAAGTTAATGTTTGTCTTCACAATATCACAAGGTGATTATTGTAGAGGGGTTGTGTTGAACCATTGCTGGTGTACCATGACTGCAGATGTTGAAAATTAAAACTTTTTCGTATGTAATAAAAAGGTGTCATTTGATTTATTATTGCAACCGCCACAATAGTTGTTTTAATCTGAACTGTAATTGAAAATAAGTTGTACATTTTCATATCAAACTAAAGTCCTGTTTTCCTTCCTTCAAGAAGGAATCGGTCGAAAGCATGATTTTAAAACCTTCCATTTTCCAACTTTTCCCACGAGATTGCAAGTGTTTTTAAATATGAGAATATATTTTTGTATGGAATTGTCAAGTTATAGCTGCATGTGAACATGCGAGGTGTAAGATACTCTAAAACAAAGTGTCATTTTCATCTGAAAGTTACACGGTGCAACGAAAATGATTTTTTTACAAATGCTGATAAACACTACACAGTATCTAATAAGCGGTTAAGCACATTCTTTGCCGAGCCACGTTTTATTGAATTAGTAATTTGAAAGAATATATTACGAATGGGGTATTTTGTGAATGTTCACAACTGCTAGGAATGTGATCTGATAATTTGGCTTTGCCCTAAGCTTGTCCACTATCATTTACATTGGATAGGTGTGCCGTTGAAGGGTTTGTGGGGAAATACATCTCAAAGGGATTCCCATTTTATTGCATAAACGAATGATTGAGTGTGTTGAGCAGTCAATGATAAAGGGTCATTTGAGTTACAGCCGATCCCTCTGGTTGTGTATAAATATTTAAGAATGTTATAGACCATACATTTGCAGCCTAAAATAGTACGATTTTCATTTTTTTTAATACATGATACACTGTCAAAACATTGGTTATGCAACATTTCTCTGAAAAATGCGGTTGTGATAGAAAATTAGTCTTGAAATGGACATGTTTTGGCCGGTATTGCCAGTTACATTTATATATTTCTCCTTACTGAAAACTTTAAATTGGAAAAAAGGTCGAAAATTATTTGGATGTTTACCTTATTGACACAATCATGCATGTTATTAAATCTTACAATAAACAAGTTAACATTGCCTAAATTGTAAATGTTAAAAACATAACAATGTATTTTCTTTCAGAGGATACAAAGTTATGATGAATTTACTTAATATATTCCCAAACATTTTGACATTACAAGCAGAGCATTGACTTTACATAAATTACAATATGCAGAATACAGCCTGCATATAATCCTAAACAGACTGGACCAGAGTCACTTGCTTCTTAGCCTAATTGTCCTTTTCCAAAATTATATCCCCATTGTTCTCTTATCACGCCGTGAGGCAAATTGTGCATTTGTTAGAGAATTGCCTTTGGAAGTGGACACGACAGAGCTACCTCCGATTCCTTTTCGTGACCTCTGGTTTACACAATAGGGGGGGGGGGGAGCACATAAACCTGCCCTTCCACATAGCTAATGTTAATCACTTAACAGTCAAACTGATATTTATATTTCTTGAAAAATAGAATTCAGCTAAATTAATTGCAGAATAAAATATATTGGTGTTGGGTTTTTGTTTTGCAGTCATTGGTGACCGGGCTGAAGCCATCAACTCGCGATACAAGTTTAACCACGAGGCTTGTAGTCACACTCCGACCCGGTCACCTCAGCAGATTCAAAACGGTTGATTACACGGCCTTGATTATTTATTCCATTCATGGCAATGAAGGCATTGCCATGGTTTTTTTTTGGTTGCAAAAATTCGGACTAAAACGAAATCATTCGGCAGTGTACGAATCGGGCCCCTATATTGGTCCTCAAACTTTACTCAATGTCTGGATTTGAAGCTTTCGTGACCGCAGGAATCCATACTCTTTGGTTATTTCGGTAAAGTCACGTAGGTAAAAAAAATTGATCACGACGTTTCGATCGCAACACAAGCAATCGTCATCAGGTGAGACAATCACAGCAGGGAAACTGTTGAAACGGGCGCCTGTTTCAGCAGTTTTTACCTACGTGACTTTACCGAAAGAACCAAAGAGTATTTACTCAATGTCTAAGTACAATAACGGACTATTCACTGCGTACTTTTTCTTCCTCGTGATATCAAGCTCCGCGATGTGTTTACCGGTCCGAAGTTAGGACTCAAGCTCCCAAAGATACAGCACCGTGAAGCTAAACATCGCCCACCCCCGCATCGGAGAGCTAATCACGCCCATTCAATATAGTCTTCCTACGCAGCTCACTCAACTAAACACATTTTGTTAAACCCACTTGAGGGCGTACGAAAAAAGTGCAGCTCAAACGACCGAGCAAACCCCGTGCTGTATTGTAATATTGCCCCGCGTCCTGAGTGTTTTAAAGCAGGCCGAGGGGCTCTCAGTACATGAGGACTTCAGTGTTGGTGGCGGGACTTGTGGCTTTGGTGGCGGCTTTCCTGTCCTCCAGATTCACGTTGTGGTAGGCGTACGTGATGGCCATGGACACGGCGCAGCTGAGCAGAGCGCCCAGCAGTAGCCAGTACGGCGTTCCGTACGTGAAGCCGCTGATGCTTTCCTCCGGGATCAAATCCAGGAATACCTCCGTCATGCCAGACGTCTGTGCCGCCAAGGGGAAGATGATGAGCGCCAGCAGGCAGCAGCCACCTGCACGGGGGGAGGGGAAATGCCACGTGGAGCAAAAATGACGTGAAACCCACTTTGTGTGGCTTGTCACGGTTTTAACCAGTGACGTGCGGTGAGGTCAATGGCTGGGGAGGCACTGGCTAGTGTCAGAGCCAGATTCACACACGGAGGGGGGCGTGGCCTCACTGAGGGGGGCGTGTTAGACACGTCCCCCTCAGTGAGGCAGATGTGATAGCTGCCTCCCCTGGTGCCTCTTCATTGCAGTTTCATGACGAGACCAACGAGCCTAAATATATTTATACACATACGTGAAATAAGTTACCTGGAGTATGGAAGGTGAGGACATTAAATTAAGGGGTCTACAAACATTACATTGGTGACGTACCGAGATAGTAACAGGCACGCGCTTATTGCCCGCGCTCCATCCAGTTACTGAGGGGTTGTGCAATCAGAGGGGAGGCTGAGCTCGTCGCTGCCTCACCTCACGTCTCTTCCTGTATTTGTAGCGGAGCTCCGAAAATTTGGCGATTTTGACTATGAAAATGATTGGAATCGTACAGAAATTACATTTATAACACAGATCGGTGGCAAAATATTCATATTTATTTTATTATTATTATTTTCTTTTACTTTTCGTAACAGCTATTTTCATTGGAGTATGGCAGGTGAGGCTCTGCCTCCTCTGCCTCCCCTGACCGCACGTCCCTAGTTTTAACCCCCCCCCCCCCCCAAAATAAAACTGGTGCGGTTGCTCCACTACGGTTGTCACGCTGTCGCGTGTTTATTTATGCTGGATTTCAACTGAGTGTGGGGAGCGGTGAGTGTGGGGAGCGGTGAGTGTGGGGAGCGGTGAGTGTGGGGAGCGGTGAGTGTGGGGAGCGGTGAGTGTGGGGAGCGGTGTGTGTTGCAGTGCGCTGAGCCTTGTGGATGAGTTGTAAGATTCCCTGCCGCAGCGAACTAACATCGCGCGGTTGTGGAAGAATGTCACAGTCGCTTTTCCTGCATGGGTGAGCAACGCGCATATAAATCAGCTTAACACGTAGTAGGATTTCGCGACCAATATCATCCATAATGCAGGCTTTTTTGGGTTAGATAGCGTAAATATGTGTCGTTACACCCGCCACCACCCGACACAGTCAACCAGTAAGGGTTGTCACGTAAACAGAACGTGGCCAATTCGTCATTAGTACAGCACACCGGTGCGGTTGGAGAGTCAAGCCACAACATTTACAATCTGAGTACGACGTTTCGCCAGTAATTACAACTAGCTTCATCAGCCGACAGCCAGATTTGCGGAAAAATCCTCCTGTATTATCAACTCGCATAATTGACGAATATATTGGCCGCGTACAGATACAGCTCAGCATTCACGACGTTTTGAATGTGTTGGGGGTCTGCATTCGCAACAGCGAGGTGTAGGGGTTATAGTAAGCAGGTCATCGTACCGCACACAGAGTTCCAGATGTAGAGCCCCCGGGGGCCCTGGATGTTGTGGTATGGGTTGGTGAGGCCGTTGATGAACGCGAAGAGACACTTGATGGCCGCGAAGAGCACTCCCACGATGAGGAACAACATCTGGAAGGCGTAGGCTACCTGGCCCGTGCCCTTCTCTCCGTCCGTCTTGAACAGTTTATCGATGACTGTCAAACAAGCAACCCGCCACAGCAAAGCAGGGTTCATTTTGTGAACGGAGATATATGCGAACAAAAATGTTTAATTCGTGCATGGGTTTCTTTTGTTGGTGTCGGCCGTGTAAACAAAAGGCGTGTCGCAGACAATTCATGAAAGTGTTAGACGAGTCAAACGCACCGAATCTTTTTCACTGCATCAGCAGCAACACCGGTGCTATTCGAGAGAGCGATCTCACAACATTTAAATGGAACGCGACGTTTCGCTGGTGATTACATCCATACATCATCATCATCATGTCATTAACCAAGGCCGTAATTATAATATGTATTCAAAGGTGCTGAAAATGCCCCCCCCCCCCAATATATTGCTATAAAATAGATGTATCTGTATATGATTGTGGTTATGGTTGTATTTTATTAATCCCTAATCTCTGCCATTACATACAATGAAACAAGAAAAGGTTAAAAAGTAAAAACAGAGCAATGTAATACAATACACTATTAGACATTATTGTAAAATATAAATCAAAAGTCCATCCTATGTGTTAGTTATTTTTTTATATATATTTTTGGCAGGAAATGGCAGGATATTCTTTTCAAATTTCGATATATTTTTTTTCCTGGGGAGATGACCCCCAGACCCCGTGTAAGATTTGGTCCCCCCCAATGTTGACTCCATGGTTACGGCCTTGTCATTAACAAGAGCTCGGATCTCGAGTGAAGGCACCTCCTAACGTCATCGGCACAATCATACACGTGATGTAGTTTAATCATTATTAGTGTCGATTGGTTGTTATTGGCAAGTTAGGTTCGTCTAATAAGGAGAGTCGATTTCGCTGTTGGTGAAAATATCCTTTCCGAAATCATGTTACGTGTTGGTCATGAAACTGAGCATTAATCTAATTAATGTTATGGGGATAAGCAAAACATATGTACTGTTACATATCCGTGTATGTTATGTATGTTTTGAGTGGGAGAAGATCAAACATGACGACGATTACGATACCCACCAACGCATAACTAACTGGCGAGACGACATTGACTATAATGAGGTTATTGGAGACTTGCAGCGCCCTGAAATTATCACCGATTTACTCATATAATATTATTTGGAGAAAGATAATGTTTTGCCCCCTCACATCAACACTTTATAACGAGGAGTTAACCAAATATGTTGACTTCTTTAGTCGAGTAGAATATCAGAATGCTTATTTATACTGGAGGAATCCGATGAGCTATAAAGCTCTTTTCCACAGACGTCCAGTCGGAGAGAGTAACTAAACGGAATCCACACATTAAGACTCGACGAACATTTCGAAGGTTGCCACTAACAAGAATAAGTGCGTGACTAAAACAAATAAAATGCTGACTAAATTAACAACTGCAGCAAAGCGTATCGATACGTTGTCTTTAAGAAAATGTATTGTGTCGCCTAAAATGGGGCCCCCGTGGTATTCAGGAAGGATTTTCCTGTCCCGTCGAGGCAAAATCCCTAAACAGGCCACAACACCACACCCTGTTAATGACTCGGACAATCTAAATCCGTGCCGGCATTTTTGTTGCAGGCAGACAGAAAACTCTGCTGTTATAACATCAGCCTGGGAATGTCCACGTTTCGATGGTCCGACATTTTACTTTTACAATACAGTGTAGAATAGTTTCACTGTAATCGAGGTAGCATTATACACAACTGAGCTGCCATTTGGAAAATACTCAAGTTCGTGTGTTTTTTTGATTACAGAAATTTCATAAAGCAAACACTTTGGTGTGGAGTCCATCACGGTGGGCTGTGAGGTCTAAGCTATAATCCTTCAGAATGAAAGTAACAAAACTGATCATGCTTATGCATTAACTTGCCCAAAAAAACACACACATGTACCACTTGAATTGAATATCAACGAGAACATGTAACAATTGCTGAATATAAGCACAATTATTGAGAAACACTCAATTGTAATATACAGTGAGGGAAAAAAGTATTTGATCCCCTGCTGATTTGGTACGTTTTCCCACTGACAAATAAATGATCAGTCTATAATTTTAATGGTAGGTTTATTTGAACAGTGAGAGACAGAATAACAACAAAAAAATCCAGAAAAACGCATGTCAAAAATGTTATAAATTGATTTGACCCCTCTGCAAAACATGACTTAGTACTTGGTGGCAAAACCCTTGTTGGCAAGCACAGAGGTCCGATGTTTCTTGTAGTTGGCCACCAGGTTTGCACACATCTCAGGAGGGATTTTGTCCCACTCCTCTTTGCAGATCTTCTCCAAGTCATTAAGGTTTCGAGGCTGACGTTTGGCAACTCGAACCTTCAGCTCCCTCCACAGATTTTCTATCGGATTAAGGTCTGGAGACTGGTTAAGCCACTCCAGGACCTTAATGTGCTTCTTCTTGAGCCACTCCTTTGTTGCCTTGGCCGTGTGTTTTGGGTCATTGTCATGCTGGAATACCCATCCACGACCCATTTTTAATGCCCTGGCTGAGGGAAGGAGGTTCTCACCCAAAATTTGACGGTACATGGCCCCGTCCATCGTCCCTTTGATGCGGTGAAATTGTCCTGTCCCCTTAGCAGAAAAACACCCCCAAAGCATAATGTTTCCACCTCCATGTTTGACGGTGGGGATGGTGTTTTTGGGGTCATAGGCAGCATTCCTCCTCCAAACACGGCGAGTTGAGTTGATGCCAAAGAGCTCCATATTGGTCTCATCAGACCACAACACTTTCACCCAAGTTGTCCTCTGAATCATTCAGATGTTCATTGGCAAACTTCAGACGGGCATGTATATGTGCTTTCTTGAGCAGGGGGACCTTGCGAGCGCTGCAGGATTTCAGTCCTTCACGGCGTAGTGTGTTACCAATTGTTTTCTTGGTGACTGTGGTCCCAGCTGCCTTGAGATCATTGACAATATCCTCCCTGTAGTTCTGGGCTGATTTCTCACCGTTCTCATGATCATTGCAACTCCACGAGGTGAGATCTTGCATGGAGCCCCAGGCCGAGGGTTATTGACAGTTCTTTTGTGTTTCTTCCATTTGCGAATAATCGCACCAACTGTTGTCACCTTATTCTTAGTTTTTTCGGTAAAGTCACGTTGAAGGGAAACAACAAAATAATAAAATATATATAAAACAATAAAAAAATTCTCACGACGTTTCGACCATAACTCAAACGGTCGTCTTCAGGTGTGTTGGTTTGCATAAATTTATTTTTAAACGGCGCATTTATTTATTTATAAAAACGTTAGCGCCACGCGCAACGATTTGGCAGTTTATTTAGGACTAGTCCATATATATTCTGAAAAGAGGAGGGGGGAGACGAAATTTTTTATAATGTATGCTGTCTGAAAGCCACTGTAAGCGTGAACAATTTTTATTATAAATAAATAAATGCGCCGTTTAAAAATAAATTTATGCAAACCAACACACCTGAAGACGACCGTTTGAGTTATGGTCGAAACGTCGTGAGAATTTTTTATTGTTATATATATTTTTTTATTTTGTTGTTTCCCTTCAACGTGACTTTACCGAAAAAACTAAGAATATGAATTACTGCAGTCACGAAAGCTTTAAATCAAAAATTGTTGTCACCTTCTCACCAAGCTGCTTGGTAATGGTCTTGTAGCCCATTCCAGCCTTGTGTAGGTCTACAATCTTGTCCCTGACATCCTTGGAGAGCTCTTTGGTCTTGGCCATGGTGGACAGTTTGGAATCTGATTGATTGATTGCTTCTGTGGACAGGTGTGTTGTATACAGGTAACAAGCTGAGATTAGGAGCACTCCCTTTAAAAGTGTGTTCCTAATCTCAGCTCGTTACCTGTATAAAAGACACCTGGGAGCCAGAAATCTTTCTGACTGAGAGGGGGTCAAATACTTATTTCCCTCACTAAAATGCAAATCAATTTATATGACATTTTTGACAGGCGTTTTTCTGGATTTTGTTGTTGTTGTTATTCTGTCTCTCACTGTTCAAATAAACCTACCATTAAAATTATAGACCGATCATTTCTTTGTCAGTGGGCAAACGTACAAAATCAGCAGGCGATCAAATACTTGTTTCCCTCACTGTATAGCAGCGGGGTGTCCCTGAGTAAACGAGCGTAATCATCACATGAAGCTCGGTGAAATATTGATGTGCTCAAGGACAGGTCCCTCAATCCCAACTGGTCGCCTGCCCAACCTCTTCACCTTGCGACACCACGCGCCATGCTCGGGACTCGTTGTGTCAGAAGTAGACATTAGGGCAGTTGAGGTGGTTGCACGTTTCCTTGCTCAAGAAATACACTCTCGTGGAATCGTCGCCCTGTACGATCAAACGGGAGGTGAAACCTTACCTTGAAAACTCGTTTCCACCGGATTCAATCCCCTGTTGACGATGTATTTTCCAGAGAACATTCCGTAGTAGCTGGTGGCATGGGACTCGGTGGCATCGCCGGTATTGTTCGGATGGTATGTCACCGTGACGGAAACCCAATTTGTGGAGCCCAGCGAAATGCCAAGCATGACGATCGTGCCAATGCTGACGAATCCCGCTGGAAGAAAATATGCCTTTTTCCGAGCAGAAACCATGATGGCAAACGAAACGAGGTCTCAATGCTCAGGCGATGCGAGAACGTCCCTTGTCCTCGATGCTTTATTGCCGCGGTGAACTCACGGCGAGAAACGCCCAGGAACTTTGGACCTCGCCGCTCACAGGCCCGGGGCACAGTCCAATCCATAAGCACCACTGATAACGTGTGAGTGACACACGGGCATGCATTGGTAGTGTAATGTTTAGCTGCTATTGCTTCCGAAAGTAAAATCTGCTCTATGTTCAATACGATCAGTTATATGCATAAACCATCATAACGCGAACTCCGATCAACCTCGCAGTGGCTTTTGTCTATCCATGAAACAGACGGTCACTGCATCGCGCGCTTTCAGGTGCGCTTCTTCGGCCGTCTGGAACGCTCTTGGTGTAGGCCAATCAGTTTCAAAGACAATGCATATATTATTACAGCATGTTTATTTCCATGTTCACCACGAGTACCGTGTGTGGTTAATGCAGACATGATTCCTTGCAAAAGGTTCCTATTTGGTGTTTGAACATCTTAACACCTTCTGTTTTATTACCAGAAAGGGTACAAACATATTATTTTTTTGTTCAGTGTTAAATTTGCTTTGCGCTACGCCTTAAATCCACGTGTTCCAATTTTACACAGTGTAATTCCCTGCATGAATCTGTCCCGTTTTTTTTATTGTGTATATACTCATCAGTTAATGTGTGAAACATTGTAAAGACAGAGCGCCAATGATAACACAGGAGCCAATGTCTGTGTACACACAGTCCACGCTACGTTTCCACCACAATAGGAATTATACCCGAGCCGTGCCCAGGTCGTTCCGGGGAGGGTTCAGCACGGCTCCGTGAGCTCGGCCGTCCTTCTCCGTTCTCACGCACAAAGGAAAGACATGATAATTTGGGTTGGGGGACGTCCATAAATGACGTCACGCACCTAGGGGGTGGGGGGTGGGGTCAGACATTCGTGATGATGTGTGACGAGGGGGAGGGGTTTGAGAAATGTGACGTCACATCAAAATGCGCAACTTTAAATAAATATAGGCAACACGTTCTACTTAATTAAATATACTTTTTGATACATGTTTTCTCCTACAACATCAGAGTGCAGCGGCACATTACATACGCACTACAATGACAATAATTTAAAGCGATTTGAAGCATGTTATATATATATTTTTGGGGGGAAGAGGGGGCAGAGCTTTGTGACGTCATATTTGAGGGGGGGGGTCTGACTTTTTGTGACGTCGTGTGACGAGGGGGGGGTCAAAAATCGTCCAAAATCGCGTGACGTCATTTATGGACGGCACCTTTGACAGATTCCACTGAAAGTTTATATAAAAATGTTATTGATGATTTTCATTTTTAAAATTAAGCAATGGCCCTGGAGCGGACCTAAACGAGACACAACGTTGGCGACACGCGTCTCGTGACCCCGTGAAGTCACGATTGTTTCCGATGGTGGCCTGGCTGAAACTGGGTCGCCCATGCGTGTGCCTAGCCCTACCACGTGAACAAGCATCTCGATTAAAGCGAGCAACTCGGCCAAGTATAAGTGGGTCTCGCGGTCCACTTTGCAGCTCGCTTGGCATGGTAAGGCTGCCATTGATATAAATGAGCCAAGAATGTCTGTTTGTGTGTAACGCGCGTGACGTCACTATACATGCCGCACCCCCCGTCATTAATATTCATGAGCAGGTGGATTTTTTCACTCACCCAGGTCGAGCGGAAATACTTTTTTTTTGCAAATTCGCTTTAAGTTTGACTTTTTTTTATTGAAAATGAATCTAATTAATAATTCTACGCAGAAACAAAGTGGATATGGTGTCTTTATTTATTTCTTTAGCACTTGAGACAAAAGGTAAGTCTAATTTATGCTTCTACATTATGGCAAAATGGACATTTCTCCGCGATTTTACAGATATAGTATCGAATTCCAATTTATTTCAACCCCAGCGACCGAAAGCAGAAGATAATAAAGTATCAGAGCAGTGAATTTAATCAAATTGAAGGTCAATTATAGACAGTGCTACATAAAGTGGGGTGTTATATGACATACTTTTATGCCAGATTCACTGCCATTAAATTTACACAAGATACAATTATACTCTGCTCAATTTTTTTCGTAAATATTACAGCTTCCGTCCGTGTACCTGGCAAACAAGCTAGTTGATATCTCAGCTCAGAACACTTTTAGCAACATCAGCACCAAACGGGCTCCACCAATCCACCACCTCTTACTTTAACGAGCACGGAAATTAAAGGAAGCGCGGTTATTCATTAACGCCCGTCCGTTAAGTGCACAGCTGACTCACACCGCTATTCTTTATCTTGGCTCGCGGTGGTGTGAGAATTTACACTTGATATTCAGTACTTAATTTGCATATTATGTCTGTGCGTCACACCTCGAAGGCGCAGAGACGAGTGTCATCATCAGCCACGGCTGATCCGCCTGCAAGCTGGCATCTCTTGACGATCCCGAAATATTATCAAACATCGAGCAACTTCACACATCGCTCCATCTCCTCCATCGACATCCTGTCTGACTCGTTCCAATCCTTGGCTATCACTCCATCATTACTCCTGACCACCGGCCTTCATCCACACTTGCCAAGTGTCCTGCCTAAGCAGGTAAGGCCACGGAAATGACAACAACATGTATGGGGCCCTACTGGTTAAACCCAATTTTGAACAGGGCGTGTAGGCTAATGATCTATGTTGTAAACTTATTTCTTTGGAACTTATTTTTGTGTTTATTTTTTAGCCCCCCCCCCCGCACCTCCGAATAGCATGGTTGGCTACGTACGGTGCGAAAGAAGCTCACATACATACACACATCCTTTTCTTCATGCCCATTAATTTTGTATCTCAGCCGTTGTTCTAAAAATATCCCCCCTGTTGATCGGGTAGGGAGTAGAGGGGGCAGGAGGGGAGGAGATCTCTGGGATCGAGGCCTCAGAAATTTTCCACGATAAATTAACACCTGGCAATGCCAGAAGATGATGAATCTATTTCGACAACCCAATCGAGTTTGGAAAATAAATAAACTGTCTTGGTTTCACCTAATCATCTGACTAGAGTTGACAAAGAACCGTGGAATAGTACAGATAAATAACTTAACCAATCCATCACTCAAACGATATTGGCAATAAAGCAGCTTTACACAGTTGACTCTCCAAACAAATGCAACTGAACTGATACAATCACCAAACATCACCTTGCCAGTAAATTAATGGCAGCATTGATAGCAGCTGTGAACTGTGTACTGTGCTCGTAAATGAGTAACATTACACCAAAAGGCAAAGTCCATGTTAAAGTGCATAGCGAGGTGTTAGCTACCTCGCCCAGTTTACAGGACATCATGGGTTCGATTCCTACCGTTACGTATGGATGTTTGGAGATCGCATTGTTCTCCCCACGGTCGCGTGGGTTTTGTCTGGGTCCTCTGGTTTTTTTCTCCATATGTGTTTAGAGTATTTGGCTGCTAACACATTCCTGCGGAGGGAGCTGGTAGGAACATTGGGTTGCTCGGTCAATGGCCAGGGTCAAAGGCGGCGTGGTGTATTCCGCAAATATGCCCGACTGTGAGGGCGGGCACAAGCCGGCATGAGTAGGTTAAACGTTGAGTTTTATAAGGGCACCACGGGGTGACCAGCCCCTCCCCACCCAGCCCACCCCTCCCACCCCCCACCCAGTCCCACCTCCCCCACCCAGCGCCTCCCCACCCTCCCCTCCCCACCCAGCCCCTCCCCACCCAGCCCCTCCCTACCCTCCCCTCTCCACCCAGCCCCACCCCTCCCACGTGGACAGACATCCACAGACATACACAATTAATACCCTGCCCCCTGTGAATTCATCCTGGTTGGGCTTCCAGTCCACTACGTTTCCTACCAGTATAATTTTCCACGTGGAAAGCCACTTCGTTGAGCTATCATTTGTGACCAGGTCGCTTCTGAAAACAAGAGCTACACAGCTCAGTGGGCCTTACCTGGTCAAAAAAATAGTTTACGGTCGTTTTATATTTGTATTGAAGTTAGTCCCATGTAAGTGCAGACATTAAATTTAACCACAGTTCGTCGGTTCATTCTTTAGTGAATATATTTATGGTGCAGTCTCTCGCCGCCACACAAACATAGCATCCTCCCATCCCCAATTATTATAACCACACGTGAACAATAATTCCGCGGCAAACTTTTTGTTGTTCAATTTTGTACGAACTTTATTTTCATTTTTTCTTCTTTATAAAATTCAGAGAACGTTTAGTGCCAGAACAGACAGCACTCAAACATCAGTAGAAAACACACTCGGACTTTATAAAAGAACTTGCGTCCATATACAAATACTGTGGGGTCTATCGTTAAAATGCACAAAATTAACCAAGTCACTTGACCTGCAGTGTTGGTGCCATTTAAACGCATACTTGACGTCAATGGCTTTCGCAAGTATGCACATGAACCTAAGACATCTTAGTATAATCGGGGTGCATTATATACATCCGTATATAAAAAGCTAAATGTTTTACGATATTAGCAAATTAAAGAATGAATGAAGATCTATTTGGAGTTATCAAAAGGCACGTACATTACTAGGCGTGATTAATAGTTGCAAAATTAATTCAAAGGAAATAATATAAATACTATTGACTCCTATTTTACATTAAATACACTGAAACAAAAAAATTAAGTGGTCTCTTACAGGCAGTATTTGAAAAAATTAAATTACTGCAATGCATAGTTAAGAGTGGATAAATGTATGCAGGTACTCATGATGAAAGAATTTCAAAATCACAAGACAGATTCAGTCCCTCTCCTAGCATGTGAATCTCCGCATTGGCTTCCGTTGAAGAACGCTATCCCAGCAAGTGTTTAGTGCGTACCTCAATTCTTCAAAGGGCTCGGAATGCAAGCTGTAGAGTTAACGCAAACAGGGGTACCATGTGAAGATTTTGCAAACAGCAAAGTCCGCTATGACTGCGAATCGCACCGCAAAGGCCATGACCATCGTCACAGACTTCGTCCAGATTTCTACGTTCCTTTCTTGGTCTCCCACTCCTGTGCACAAAATAAACAAACGGGTTACTGTTATCTTATTACCGAGGGAAGACTCACTGAGTCTCTTTTACAGTAGGGTCCTGCCCGGTATTTGTAGGAGGCAGCGGTGTTGCTGGGTGTTTCATCCAAAGTGAGGAATTTGCAGATCATTTTTCAGCATTGGGATGCTTGGCCAATACCAGTTTAAACTGTGGGTCTTTAGCTTCAGAAGAAAAGCAAAGAACCCACGGGGGAACCCATGCAGAACAGGGGGACAACATACGATCTCCACACAGCACGGCACCTGAGTCGTGAAAAGGCACAGGTGCTACTACTGCGCCACCCTGCTTAACTCCAACACATGGCCGGCTGGCAGCTCCGCCCACTTTTCTAAAGCCCCACCCACTCAATCACTAGCCCTGCCCACAGAGAGGAGGTAGTCTCTTGCTAACGTTGGTACCGCCTACTCTGCCTAACTCCGCCCACCACTCAGGAAGCCAAGCACCTTTTGCCGATGTCATGAATCAAGCACCACACCAGAAACATTCCAAACTGGGTGGAAAGAAATCTCAATCTACACCAATGTTTCGGGACACAGGGGACAGCCTTTCTGAAACCGGCTCCAGCGAACCGCAAGGCTTTGACAGCCATAGGACTTTGGCGTGTATCTCCCCCGTAGCGAGGAGGCTCTTACAGAGACACCAACACACCCCGTGCACCGTTGACGTGAAGGCGCCGTACCTTGGCCTTCTGCAAGACAGCGCCGGAGCAGGCGAGCGCATAGATGGAGAGAGGACGGCGCCGCATGGCGGCCTGGCTGTTGACGGGCAGCAGTCGCACCTCCGAGTCGGCCGTGTCGCAGCAGGGCAGGTCCCTCCGACGTCCTTCGGGAACCTTTGGCGGGGGAAACGCACACGCGCACACAACAGACGCACACACGCACAGAACACTTGTTGGTCTCGCCACCGCCGTATGATGTCCCAAAACCACCAATGAAATGTCTTGCCGAGTACTACTTTAATGATGGGCAGTAACTGCTTTTTTCTAACTTTGTTATTTCAGAAACATTTTGCGGCGACATAAAATACGTAAAAAGAAAAAAAACGAGTATATTTTGAAACAGACGATACGATTATTATTAATCAAATATCGTTCGATACACCGTACGCATCACTGCATTGCGGAAACCCCCATCACAAGTCGTGCATGAAACCGACCAACATGTAAACGAGGACAAAACCCTGATCCTTCACCAATGTTGCCAGGCGACGCCGAACAGATGGATGTATGCTGAACTTATTTCACTCCGATTTAAAGCTTTCGTGACTGCAGGGATTCATATTCTTGGTTCTTTCGTTAAAGTCACGTAGAAGGGGGAAAAAAAATAATAAAAAATAAAAATAAACAAGATTGTTTTATTTTTATTATTTTGTTATTTCCCTTCTACGTGACTTTACCGAAAGAACCAAGAATATTATTTCACTCCGTACGCACCCAACCGTGGGAATCGGAGGTGCGGGGGAGGGACAACAAACTAAAAACATAAGGCAGTTGTGAAGGAATTAGTTTTCAATCAAGATTTAAAAACGCATAGCTCCAATGGCTTCCTAATATCGGACGGAAGAGCGTTCCAAACGGCCACAGAAGCGCATCTGAAAACGCGGCGATGCGGTGACCGCCTTTGTCCAACCAAAAGCCGCTGCTGCTGCGAGGGCGACCGGAGTTTCGCGCGATGGTTCACGCTCCTTGACGAGATCAGCAAGGTATTGTGCTTCGTTTAAGGCAAGCACTGGTGCGCGCAGCCGGAAGCCCACGCAGCTCGGCGAGCACGTGACGGGCCACGGCCGCACCTCGCAGGAACGATCGGTACCGTCGCGGCGGCAGCAAAGGACGGCCGGCGGCCTTTTACCTGGGGGACGGCGTCTCGCTCGGCCGGCCGGGGCGAGATGGTGAGCCCCAGCGAGGGCCCCCCGGAGAGCGCGTGCTTCAGCCGCTCCGTCACCTCGATGAGACGCAGCTCCAGGTCGACGCGCTCGCCCTCGCACGCGCGGCACCGCTCCTCCAGCAGCCGCAGCTCCGCCACCTCCGTCTCCCCCGGGGCGCCACCGTCTGCGCCCACACGGACACCCGCCGCCGTTTCAGTTCCGCCCAGGGATTGGGACGTCGATGGATATTGTCCGGGTCGCTGCTAACACTTTCCCGTTCGCGACGACGTATGTGTACGTCGTCAGTTTTTTCCTTCCGATTCCGTTCCGATGACGTGCGTATGTTTTCGGAACTTTATCAGTACCGAGGCTCCCACAAGGCCCTGCGGGAGGGCGTGTGGCACAGTTTGTCGACAGCTGTTGCTACAGTTCTCTGCGGTGAGTAAAATGTCTTTAAAAACAATGGCGAACGGGACCCACCGTGCAACTTGCAGTCATCTCGGAGTGAAAAAGGTTGAAGACGGGAATGGGCACATGATTCGTAGCCACAGCTGTAGTGACAAGTTTACTGGTTGTGGTGTGCCAGGCGTGGAAAAAGTGTCCGGGTTGCTGACCCAGAGACACATCCGGCTGAGATTAATTCCTGGTTATAGCCCCTGTAGCTTTGGAGAGGGGGGCTCAGCCCCCTTAGCATTTAATATTCAAAGATGGTTCAACGATGACTATATCATGCCCCACGGGTGAGGTTTTGTATGATCCCATTTAAACAAGGTTACGCAAATGGATTGTTGTCTGGTTCATCATCATCATCAACACTACCACCACCACGAATATCATGACCGTCTCATTGGAAGGTTGGCAATTCACGTATTTGGTCAGCAGGGGGCGGTATATCCACTACCATGGTGGCAAGCCGACAAATAGATTCGCCCGTGTGTCGAGTGATGCAATGAATTGTCACATTTGGGGGTATCAATTTGACTCAAAATCCTAATTTTTTTTGTCAAATATTTTCCGACTCGTTTGTATCAGTTGCATTAAAAAATGGGCACAGTATTGTTCACTCCGTCTATATATATAAAAGGGAAATTTGTGAATGTGTCTGTTCGAAATGTTTAGCATACTTCCCGACATGCAACAAACGTGAAATTTGGCATGTGGGTAGCTTCCAGACTATACACAATGCAAAAAGTATAAAAATATACTTTTGTATTTTGGGGGGGTGGGGGGGGCGCAATAATGGATATATTTCGCAACCCGCATGCGGCAGCGTGACGCAGTGTGCCTGCTGACGACACGCATCCACCCCCCCCTACCCTCCGCGTAGGCCGTGTATTAGCCCAAGACAAGAATCCAAGTCCCGGGCGAAGCCGGGTAGTAAAGCTAGTTGATGTATAAAACGCCAGGAAGCAGCTTATAATAAACACGGTGCAACACAAGTATTGGCCAAACATCCCAATGCAGAAAAGTTACCTGCAAATGGAATCATACAGAGCCCTCTACTGTGAAGACTTGGCAGGATCCTCTCGAAAACGAGTCCTGACACTCAAAGGTAATAATTTCGTCATCATAACATCTGGAGAGCTGGTTAATACCTCAGTGGGCATTGCCTGGGATGATGGGGATGGTCTAGTTTTATTTGTATGTTTACCTTTCTTGCACTTTGCACTACTATCATGTTTTGATACTGTTTGTGGTTGTAACGTTCTTACCCGCCAACACTGAACATCTGTGAAAAAGAGCTTTATAGCTCATCGGATTCCTCCAATATAAATACCTCACTCCAGCGCTGTCCTCCAGACAGTCTCGTCCCCTTCACCTGATGAAGGCCGCTTGTGTTGTGGCCGAAACGTCGTGAGAATATTATTGTGTTATTTTATCAATTTATTGTTTTATTCTCATTCTACGTGACTTTACCGAAAGAACCAAAGAAGATGAATCCTTGCAGTCACGAAAGCTTTAAATCGAAATTTTACTCTTATGTAATTGATAGGTAACACTGTCCCTGGCTGCGTCTTAGGGCATTGCATCTACAATGCGACCTGTGAAGGCAAACGAACCATCCTTACTGTCTACCAGACGATGGCCCTACTGCGCTGTAGCTGGGGGGGGGGGTAAAATTTACCGCGGGGGTCAGTGACAGTAGCAACATTCCTCGCTCTGAAATGATGTGAACTGCTGAAGCAGGACACATTCCCATCAAAAAAAGATCCCAGGGTGGCAGCATTTTATCCAATTTTGGCAGCGCTTTAGCCAAACGCATCACAGTCAATAAAAATCACAAGCGAGCAGGAAAGGGATATTTAAAAAAAATGAAGGGGAAAAATGCTTGCACAGGTTCATGGAATTGTAGCTTCAGCCATCAATCGTGAAATTTGCTTACAGTTGTGTTCACTGCTTGTCACTTGCAAGTGAAATTGATCGTTCCCACAGCTGGAATTTTTGTTGGGTCAAGGGGCAAAATCCTGACCAATTGCTCGTGCGGTTAAATGCCAGTGTCATTACATATGTGTGGACAATGTATCAATTCAGATTCGTTTCCTCTTCAACAACAAAATCGCATTGTTACAAATAATTTGCGGTTGCCTATTTTTGTCTCTTTCTGCCTTGAGATGTTTGTCGTTCATGAAAGGTTTTTATTTATTTGCAACAGCTACAATCTAGATGATTGATTGGTGCTGCGCATTTCCATAACTTTCAGATTCTGAGTGGAAATATTAACGTTCTACGAGTATTCCACTTTTACAAAAACGCATCTCAGATTATCAACATTGGTAGTCGTTAGGTGGCTCAGGCGTTGAAGTTCCAAGCTGGCACCGCTAAATTCCTGGGAATGGATCTGAGTTTCAGCAGCCCATAATAATACCAGGTTTACAAATGCGAGTGAGTGATAAGCAGTGATCAGTTCTCAGCCTGGTCATTAATGAAGGCTAAAAAAACCCCGTTACATATCAAACTTGATTTGAAGCTTTCGTGACTGCAGGAATGACTCTTTGGTTCTTTTGGTAAAGTCATGTGGAAAGAAAATAAGGCCACGACACAGAGGCATTGGGTCTCTGCGTATCTATGTCGTGTGTCTCTCTCTGTGTGTCTCTGTGTTGTCTCTCTCTGCTTGTGTGTCTGTCTGTGTCCCCATGTCTGTGTTTTGTCTCTCTCTCAAATTTAGTTCTACCTGATGATGATTGCTTGTGTTGCAATCGAAACGTCGAATTCTATTATTTAATTTATTTTATTTCTACGTGACTTTACCAAAAGAACCAAGGAGTAGTTACATGTCAAATTCGGTTTTCCACTTGGCCTGCTTTAGCTGGGAATTACCGATTTGAGTTTAAGTAACAAGTGAACACTCTTTGCAGGAAATATAAAAGGTGCACCCATAGTGTGCTTTTGAATTTATTTCAGAAGTAGTTCTGTGACATCAACTTCCAGCGACAATCGTTGACAAAGGTTGATGTGATGCCAGGCATGAAAGTTGTGAGCATGACTTTGCACCGATAGCACAAGTGAAAATATAATCGTGTAAAAATAAGACGAGACTCCCAACATTGATAAAACCACCACCACCACCACCGCCACCGCCACCGGTGCATCCAGCCCTACAGCCCCCATTATGAGCGCACGCCTGCACGAAAACGCGCGCATCAACGAGACGACCGGGCGCGGTGGAGCGGCACGGGAGACACGGCGAGGGCACCACACGAGGAGACTCAGGGCGGCAGCGTGGGGGGCCACGTGCACGCAGCGTTGGCGGGGCCGGGCCCGAGGGGCGGGCCCGAGGGGTGGGCCCGAGGGGTGGGCCCGAGTACGTACCGCCTTGCCTCGCCTCCAGCACCTCGCGCGCCTCCCTGCGCTCGCGCCGCAGCCCGGAGAGGCGCGAGCGGACGTCCTCGCGCCTCCGCTGCAGCTCCAGCGCCTCGGCCTGCAGGCGCGCGGCGTCGGCCTCCACGCGCCGCCGCCCGTAGCGCTGGCCGAGGCTCGGCTCCGCCAGCAGCGCCGCCCTCCTCTTGCCGTCCTTGTCGCGCGGCGCGTCGCCCCTCGCGCCGCTCGCGTCCGCGAAGCACGAGGAGGAGGAGGAGGAGGTGGTGGAGGAGGAGCAGGAGTCGACGTCGCAGGAGGTTCGCTCGGTCTCCTGACGCGCGCGGGGCACAAGCGTGGATGAAACAAACGCTCCCCATCGAGCATTCGCTTTCGGATGAATTTGATTAGCGGCATGAGAGTCGATGAGTAGCCGTCGGGACAAAACGCATTTTTATGTCGGCCAATATTACTTGTTTTGCTCGGGTTTGGGTTTCCAGGTTTTGCGCCACTTTTTGATGAACGACCAGTTTTCAACAGGGTTACTCCCTAATACCAACTCAACTTTATATATACAGATCCATTCATATTGCATCATATTGACGTGAGTTCTAGTGCATCGCCCCTCCTGTGTTATGAATGTACAGTCAGACAGGCAAGACTGGAAAGACGAAACACTAAAAATAATCATAACAACAAGAATAGTAATAGTTCACTCCTTTGTCAATTGCTGAACAAAGACCTCCCCCCCTCTCCATGCCGTGTTGTGCACCCTAAGGGTAACAACAATAATAATTATAACGCAATTTACGTCCACAGGAAACACTCGGGTCAAGAGAATTTTGCCTTGGGATGTTTGGTCACTTCCATTGTGATAAGCAGGGGGGGGGGGAGGGAACGGGAGCCCCTGAAGAAAATCCAAACCTGATTCAAGGTCAGGTTTGTGAGTTGATTTTATCTTGTCTCATTTTCGCTGTCAGATTAGACGTGACATTGCCATTTAATCTAAATATAACTCGCGTAAACCATGCATCGCGATTGTAGGAATATACAAAAAAACTATTGCATGAGCGTGGAACAAAGTACATTATTCATGACGTTACGGGGCAAGGCAGCATCTCTCTTCTTGGTCCTTTCGGTAAAGTAACGTAGAATGGAAATAAAAAAACTAAAAAAACATAATATTTTATTATAATAATATTTTATTATGTTTTATTTTTATTTTTATTATTTTATTCTCATTCTACGTGACTTTACCGAAAGAACCAAGAAGATGAATCCCTGCAGTCACGAAAGCTTGAAATCGAAATTTAAAAAGCAGCATCTGTTTCACTAGAAAATGTTGCTCTTTCACGAGAAACAATGGTTTAATAATTTATTTTGTGGGCGGCTTTAAACGAAATTACAGCTTTTTCTACAGTGCCGTCAGCTCTCAAATGCACGGAAAGGAAATTGCAGCTGCGGCTGCGAAGGTTTTGGTCTAAATTTAGAGCGCACTATATAGAATTTTACGGCTATTTTAATTCCAACCTTTTCCTGTTTCTCTCAAACCGAAGGATGTTTTTAAAATGTCTTGCTCGGCAATTAACACAGTGGCCGGCAGACACAACGTGAGAGTAAGCACTCGCGCTGTTTACAGCGTCGGCTGGGTGGCGCTTTAGGAGATTCCGCGTGCTAGGGAACAAATGGGTCTTGTCTGATATTTGTACATTTTAATTACTCTGTGAGCCACGGACAAATCTAAGCCTGTGAAATGAACATTTCCCGTGGTTTAATCTACATCTCATTTGCGTTTAAGAGCGTGACATTCCGTAAGAGGGCGTCTTAAAATGATGGCACCAGAGTGGTGGAAAACAGCCAAAATTAATGACTATCAGCAATGAGACGGAGAGCGGGCGACACGAATTCAATAATTTCACTGCCACTCTTCGCATCTGAATATGATACCTAGTGACTTCTCCAACCTGCACTAACCGGTATGCTGATCAATCTACCTCCATGACTGACAGTATGAGGAGGCTTTTTGGCCAGCAGTGGATTGATAAAGGGCTGTAAATTATTAGGCAAGGCCTTGCAATTGGCGGAAACACTACAACTTCGGGGACCTCTTGAAGAGCCCCTCCAGAAGGTACTTTTGGCCTACTCTTCCATGCTGGCCATGCGTATTGGTAGATGTGGTCATTACCACACTTGACCCCTGTGGCCAACCCATTTACACCGCTGGGTAGAGAGAAGCGGTGGGAAGCTTAATAAGCATGCACTGTGTCGCAACTGCCACGCCCTGGGGCGGCATCAAACTGGTGACTTCGGGATTTAAAGTCCATTGCATCTTCTACATCATCATCATCACAATCCATGGGCAGATTGCCCGTAGGTGCCCACTGCACATTTCGTCATTTGTTTCCACTTTCCTCTGTCTTGTGCCAATTATGCTCAAGTAGTGCCACAACCTCTTATGTCATGACATCACCCCTGTAATTTAGAATTTTTTTTATCGTCATTATTATTATTATTACTTCACCGTACCTTGTCGCCGGGCGCAGGAGAATCTCTCTCGTGCCCCTCCACAGTGGCAGCGTCCCACTGCCGCGAGGAGCCAGCGCCGCCGCCACCGCCGCCGCCGCCGCCGCCCTCCAGCCCACGCGCGATGCTCACGTAGTCTCCGGGATCGTGCAGCAGGCGACCGCCAATGTCCCGCATGATCTCCTCGGCGAGCTCCCGCAGCCCGGCGTCACCGTCGCCGCCGTCCGTCCCGCACGGCGTCGGCGCCGGCGGCACCGACGGGCCCTCCGACGGCGCATGCTCCTCGGGGGTCGCGGGGTCGCGGGGCCCGTCGCTCGCGGAGCAGAGGGCCCCGCCGGCGGTGGCGGCGAGGGCGACACCCCGCGTGAGGTTCTCGTACGGGTCGTCGGACGGGGAGTGATCCCTGCTGCGGCATGGCGGGCCGTCCGTGTACACGTTGGGCGACGATGCCTGCCGCACTTTGATTCTGCCGACAGAAAGTTTGGAGGCGCCATTTGTGCCGCGGCATCGTTCGGCTGAACTTCAAACCTCGGATGGAATGGAAAGCATTCACACTCGGGAAAACAATCAGCCGCCGATGACCAAATCGCCCTGGATGGAGCCAATCTTGTAAAATCTCGGAAGCTAAGCAGGGTTGACTCTCGTTAGTGCTTGTAGAGGTGACCACCCAGGCTTGCTAGATGCTGTATATAAGGTGACAGGGCTGATTGTCTGCCTTCTCATTTCCGGCTTCCCCCCACATGCAAGATGTGAACGCAATTGGCCAAACGCGATCCCAATCTAGCAGGACTCTCCTGAAAAAGACTTGAGGCTCAATGGGTCTTTTCGCGGGTAAATAAATCGTTGTTATTATTACCGCTCGGCAAGCTGATCTGAAACTTCCATCAAGAGTTTGAACTCAACACCCTCCCCGCCCCCCTCCCTCCCCACCGATTAAAACAAACACTTCCGGCCCGGTACTTTGAGACTGGCGCCAAGTTCGCCCTTCATTTATTTACGCGTCCGCGTGTTTCTGCTCGTTTGCCCGTTCCGCCGCTTGGCACCGCCACGCGCGGGCCGCTCGTACCCGCGCGAGAGCTTGGCGGCGTGCAGGAAGCGCGAGGACGTCTCCGTGTCGACGTGCTCGTAGAGCAGCGACTCGGGCTCCGTGCCGCAGCCCGTGGCGGCCAGCAGCAGGCCCACCCAGCGCCCCGTCTCCACCCACGAGGCGGCCTGCGCCCGCGTCACACAAACGCTCGCTCGCTCGCTCGCTCGCTCGCTCGGCGGACGAGAGGCAGGGGTCCGTCGGGCCCGAGCCAAAATAGCGCGGCTGAGGAAATTCGACGACGGACAACCATGCACCTCCGATTCGCGTGGTTGGCAATGTACGGTGTGAAAGAAGTTCAACTTGCAAGCATGCATACAAACGTGGTGGTTCGAGAGCTGCGATATGAAACCGGTGACCAGAGTTGTATTCCTGGGCCGAGGCTAACATCACTGGTGACTGAAGTCTTGTTGAGTTCATTTATTTTAACCATCTGAGAGAGAACTCAACAACAATAACAACAAGCGCCGAATGCGACCGTCATTTTGCCTCCAGCATGATGAACGGACGAATTAATTAGAGACTCTTCGCACAAATGAGCAAACAAATGAATGACAGGATGCTCACGAAAAATAATTTAAAAACTCATTGCGGGATGTTCAATCGAATGAACAAGCGAATGACTAAGCAAACGAACGAGAGCCGGTTCGAGTGAACGAACAAACGAACGAACGAACGAACGAAACAAGCGGACGTTCGGCGCGATAGCCGCCACCGGTCGAACCTCAAGCGTGGCGACCTCCTTGTCCCCGCGGAGCAGGCGGAAGGCGAGCGGATGTTTGGGCACGAGGCCCGCGGCCAAGCGGCAGCCGTGCAGGGCGGTGCTGCCCACGGGGGGCTCCCCCTTGGCGCCGCCGCCGCCGCTGCCCAGGAACAGCGTGCGCCCCTCCAGCGAGCCCCAGCACTCCTGCCAGCCGCTCTCCGTCAGCACGCTCAGGCAGCCTGCGGAGGGCGGGAGGGAGAGCCACGGGTCGTTAGGTCATTTGTTACGTGCCATTAGCCGCGCGATGTGATGCGTCAATTAAAATCATTTTGTTTTGGGATATTTTTTTTTTAATGTATATAACCTGTCGTTATGTGCGTGTCTCATCGTCAATACAGACTGTGGACGAGATTTACATTTATTTAATTGTATTTGTCTTCCCCCCACCCGCCCAATTTTATGCCAATTGTGTTATCTGTGTCATGTCACGAGACCATGAATCTGTTTGGAACTCCTGCGGGGAATTGCAACTTCCCATGTTAGAGAACGGCCTTCTGGTGCAAGCGTTCTTCCTGATGACGAACGCTTGTGTTGCAATCGAAACGTCGTAGTTTTTTGTTATTTTTTGTTATTTTCTTTGAACCTATCTATGCGACTTTACCGAAAGACCCAAAGAATATGAATTCCTGCAGTCACGAAAGTCTAGATCCAACAACTCTTTTCAAGGGCGGAAAAATTGGAAATAATAAAAATGGCATTAACCAACAAGAGAAAATTAAATCGATTCTTCAATTGAATAACTAACACTGAATTGTGTTATAATTAATCGATTTGCATGAATGGTGAAGCATCACATGACTAGAAATCGGCACGATTACATTTTTCCCACGCAATTACAAAAACTACGAGAACACAGCAAAATCTAGATGCACGTTACATCAGAATCCGCATGGTGCATTTGTGTGTGCACGCCTGTCTCCCGACCAGCACGGCGTTTATTCACCCCTCCCCGCTCCCTTATTTCACGGCGAAGAGAGTTGTATTCACGTCTCCCATGGCGCTGGCCGGCGCTCAGCCAATGCCTTCACGCGTGCCAAACTTGACAAACCCCGTTCGTTTGTTGTGCCGTGACGCCGGCGTCCGTACCAGACGCGTCAGCGTCCCCCGCGCCACCAACGCCGCCGCCGCCGCCGCCGCCGCCGCTCGAACCGCCGCCCCGCGCGCTCCGCTGCGGAGACTCGGGCAGCTCCTTCTTCTTCTGTCGTCGCCCGATGATCTGCGTCAGCCTCTTGCCCGTCGCTTTGCCGAGAGACCACCCGGGACGGGCCGCTTTGCCTAAGGAAGGGAGTGGGACCGTCCGTTATCGGCTACGTGGCCATCAGCCAGCACGACCGTCGTCTTGTCATCGAGAAACAGCTTCTTGTGCTCCACATCACCAGAATCTTCCAGAACTTCTCCGTGACAAAAAGAGTTGGGAGAACTCAAGCGACAAAACTGCCGAATGGAGCCGGCGAGGTTTCGCGCCCAGTGAGGAGCTCGCGTCTGCCTCCAATTCCAAATGGCTCACGTGGCGGAGCCGAAACAGACACGAGAGTGTTTTGGCAGATGCAACTCTCTCATGAAATCATGGAGGTGGGGGGGAGGGACTTCTGCACAACCGAACAATGTGCTTGGTCAGGAGAAGCAAACCATGGACCATCTCCTCAATGCCCTGCAGCACCACAATGCACTCCTCAAGATTTGGCAATGACAAGACCAGAAGCGGTGGCCTGTGCAGACTATTGGGGAAAACCCGCAGAGGTTGGATAGGAGACTCGAAGAAGGAGGAGAATAACGGCAAGAAATGGTACTGCGAGTGCATTCGCCATCACAGTCGGGCCCTGATCTAGCAATGTATGTACGTATGCATGTTCAACTTATTTTGCACCATACATAGCCAACCGTGCTAATCGGAGGTGCGGGGGAAGGACAGCACACTACACGCAAAAAAGCAATTCTAGAGAAATTAAGTTTTCAATTTATATTTAAAAGTGCATAGCTCCAGTGACTTCCTAATATCGTAAAAAGGTGTGTTCCAGACGGCCGCAGAAACGCATCTGAAAGTGCGTGATGCAGTGAGCGTCTTTGTTCGATGGCTAGGCAAAAGCCGCTGTGCGAATGACGTGAATACCAAGCAAACGTATTATAATGATATTGCGTGCATACATGCATGGCCGCTTTGTCAAGCCACCTCTGAATAAGGCTTCCCCACGCCACTTGGGATGTGGGGGCCCATTAACCATGGGTCAGCACGGGTTGGTGATTGCACGGAGCACAGGCCTGTGTGAGCATAGAAGTACAGTACAATGGCTTTTCCTGCGCTGCCCTCTGTCGCCTACCAGACAGCCTCGCGGTGCAATCCATGGATTATAATAATAAAAAAAAAAAATTACTGATTTTTTTTACTTACCATCGCGACCATTCCACCTTATTGTACGCGCACACGTAGAAAGACAAAGGATGGCCCCGTATTTGCCAGACGGACCATTGGGGGCAAGTGCTGTCGGCGAGCACCTATTCACATGCTCAGCATTCACGCACGGCTGAGTCGCAAGCTTACTTCCGTCCTTCCCGTCCGCGTCGCTCGGCAAGCCCTCACCGCTGCTCACGGTCACGATGCTCTCAGCGTCTGAGCCAGGAGTCTCCAGGGAACACCTCTGCGAGCAGGCGAACAACGGCGGAAGGGTCGCACGTGGCTCTCGCACAGATGCTCGCGCCTTTCGCAGAGCGGTGTAGTGTAGTGCGGTGTGGTGCAGGGGCACGGCCGCTGTGGATGTTGTGGGTGTCCGGAGACTGCCAACATTTTTTTTAGAAATGGCTAAGGGACACCCACAGCGTTTTGCGCTCATATCATTGTCGGTACTCCAGCGCACACACACACATTTACACAGCACACACATTCAAAGAGTCAGGACACACACATATATTCACACCAGCAAACCAAGACAAAGATCCCCCATGTAGCCTTAACAGACTATTCACCCAGAAAACACACACACACGTAGGAGACCTCCAATTTCCAAAGTGAGGCTGCACCTCTGGTGTGATTGGTTGCGAGGTGGCCAGGCTCTTGCAGCACGGCCGCTCCCAGTTTGCAGTGCAGTGCCCTGTGGTGGTGCGCTGTGGTGCAGTGTTGTGGGGTTCACTTTAGCAATTTCCCTACATACTGGAAAACAACATATTTTTGCACGGTGCGTGCACACTCTTGGGCTGACACGAAGACATAATTAATTGATGGGTTTTCCGAATGGAATTCTACCAGGCAGCTTTGAAGTTGAAGCTCTGTCTGTTATCCAGAGCTTTCGAGTCGGCACCATAAATCTACCTTGGCACACTTATCGGCGCATACTAGCAATCATCGCAAACATTCGCTGACGTGAAAAACACAAACACTGGCCTAAACATTTGAAAGCCTTGACCAGCGCCTCTACCTTTTCAAGCTCCTCCTTGGCCCGAGGCGGAGTGCCGCTGGCCTCTCCCGTCGCCGCCGCCGCCGCTGCCACCGCCATCTTATTCTCTGGGTCGCAGATTTCCTGAAGCACCTGAGGAGAGCGATTGTGCTTGAGCGGTGAACGGAAACCTTCCACCAGAAAGCATCCCACGGGCATCTGACTCTTTGTTCTCGGGGTCACCGTGCCTACGCCTTTTTTGATTGGGCTACAAACCAGGCACGATGGTTCTCTCGTGCCACGCGGCATTCCAAGGGTCCAGCACCCTACCCTCACCACCACCACCCCCTCCTCCCCGCTCCGTACCCCTTGAGCGAACGCCGGGGTCAACTTATTGAGCTATGAGGGCCATTTGCTTTTCATGCAGGCAATGAGGGAGGCATTTAAACCCGCACAATGCAATAAAAATAAAAATAGGGCCGCCTTTGTGTCGCAAAGTGGCCACGGGGAACGATATCATGTGAGATAGCACGAGACGAGCCTTCGAAGTCTGGAACATCTGCTCCAAAGAATGTAGCCCCCTTAAGACCCCTCAGAATACACGAGCACGTGTGCTCGGCGAACACCCGCGGGCCCTATGTTACCGACACATCAAAGTGGACGCAAAGCATTTAATCTCACCCTTCGCCGTGTACGAGTAAAGGTTATTTTTTTCCCCAAGCTGCAGGTGCACCGCCTTCACTGATATATACAAATACCCCCGCTGTGCATGCATCTGTGCACACACGAAGGTTGAAATACACTCGCAACCAAACAATGCTGCAAATAAGCTAAGCATTGCACGTATTACGCATTCAACACATTTGAATTGCACGTGACTGAATGCATAATAATAATAATACCCATAGCAAGCTAATTGCTATGCGTATCATGAAATATACAGCTATATTCAATGCACACCCAATACATTAGCATTAAGGAGTTTGACAGTAATTGTCACACGTACGCAGGACTTCAAACATTCACCGCTTGAAGAGTACACTGCAATAACATCGCACTTAACTCTCAAATCGCCAAATCCAAATTTTGTAACCTTTCCCATTCGCTAGGCCTTGCCCCTCCCACCGTCACACGCCACCGTCATGGGCCACCGTCACGCGCCACCACGCTCACCTGCCTCCAGTGCTCCGCGTGCTCCCTGCTGGCGGCGGCGAGCACCAGCGGATCGGAGTCCGCGCGTGAGATGCGGATCTCGTGCCGCGTCTTCCGCCTGCCGGACTTGACGGCGTACACCACCGCGCAGCCTCCCAGCGCCAGCTCCAGCTGCGGGCTCTTCTGCCGCGAGTTCTTGTAGCACTGCGTGCAGCGCGGAGGAGGCGAGGTTGCACGCATCATTCCGGTTGGCGCGCGCGGTGCGTCCGCGGGAGGAAATTGTCACGGCACCAGGAGGTTTACGCATTCGCTCGCTCGCTCGCTCCGTCCGTCCGTCCGTCCGTCCTTGACACGCGAGGGTGGCACGAGAACCCTCGTAAAGATGACCGCACCTCCGATTTGTTTCCAAACTCCGATTCGCATGGGTTGGCTATGTACGGTGCGCAAAAAAGTTCGACATACATATATATATACGTACACGGCCCGATATGATTTCAACTGTTGTATAAAGTTGTGTTGCTATTCGAAACTCATCCTATTGATAACTGGCCAACTTGGAAAAAGGGTATTACAGGCATCCACCAATTAGGCCACGCAACGGTGGCCGGGAATGTGAACGTTTACATCTTAAACAATGCGTTGGGGCACAGCAGCCTTTTTTTATCAACGCTTTCCATCTAAGATTGAGTTTTTTTGCACGAGCTCTATCTGTCAGTCGGTATCAAATGTTTGGTAAAACCCGGAGTAACAAGCCAGAGCAAAAAATTACTACTTGCAAATTTACGAGAGCACTTTGCACTGCTAATTCATTATTTCCAAGAGCAAGTGCATTTTGGGAAGAGTTCCACAATTCGTGCATTATTTTTCCAAACTCGTTTATTTGTTTTAATTGATTCAACAAGTGAGACATTGACCGCAGCAAGAAGATCGTACTCGTCGTGACCATGACATCTTCCCACAATCGCGTTGGGCTTAAGTAGGAAACAGCTGGTGAGGTGTTGGTGGTGGATGGGATAGATATTTGTGTGTAGAGCTCAAAGGGCAATCCAAAACCCATTTTATATTTGTCTATCTACAGATTGAAAAGCCAATTAGAATTATTTTTTTTGTTTACTCCCTGGACATTGAAACAGAGATGTGGATTGGCAAATCGGGCACCAACGAAGGTAGATGCCTCCTCTGTTAGCCCGGACAGCCTGTCAGTGGTACCAGCTGACTTTGCCGTTTCATTGATTACAGCAAGTTACACACTGCACACGTTTTGGACTTATGTACAGTTTATTGCACGCCGCACGTGTTTCGTGTTGTGTTAAATGATCTCCGAGAGTTTCGCGTCACATCCCGTGCAGAGAAAAAGTGCCCACAGCTTGAAATGAACCCGAAACACTCAAAATAGGAGTTCTCTGTTCGTATTAATAAGCGCCAAAGAAGAAAAAAACAAATGTCAGCACTAAACGGCCTTGGCAATGGCACTAATTTATAAAACCACATCCAGTTGCTGTCGCTAAGCCGCAAGTCGCAGTCATCCGCGCGCTGCTCAATGCTTCCCCACCCACCCACCCACCCCTCTCTTTACGCTCACACGTCCCAACTATGGCACAATAACATCACTTCCTCTGGGCTCCACGCAAACAGGCCGCCTCTTGTTATTTTTTTTCTCTCGAACGGAGTCACTGTATTACGTTAGCCCCCGGAGCCGCCACCGCCGCTGCCGAGGAGGAGCTGCAGGGGTGCGGCGGAGGGAGGCAGCAGCAGCTGCAGGATTAGCGGCGACAGCATCTTTTGTTATTGTGTCTCTAGCAGCGGGAAGTCGCTTGGCCCCCATGGGCCCAAGCTGTGCTCAATTTGTTGGGTTTTTTTCTCTCTCTCTCTCTCTCTCGCGTTCTGGATCATCATCGCAGTTCCGGGGGCAAACGATTTCCTCAAGAATGACAAATTGCGGCAGGCGATCGCGCCGCAAACATCGGCGGCGCCGCTTCGCTTGTGCCGCGGAAAGTTCTGCGCGTGTCGCGAAACGCGCAGAAAGTTCTGCGCGTGTCCTGACACGCGCAGAAAGTTCTGCGCGTGTCGCGACACGCGCGCCCTGTGACTCCGCCAACATGTCTACGTAAAAATAATAATAATAAAAAAACACCCTCGGAGATCGCCATGTCGGAGAAACATGGAAAGCAACTTGAGTCTCGCATACAGGGTCTCATGTTGTGTGCGCAGCGCACAAATGCAACCTTCGTCTCGAGACTGTGTACAGAAACAGCTTCCTTTTGCGGTGGCACGTGAGGAACCGGACACGCCTTGCAAAAAATATTTTTCATCTCAAGGGATCATCCAGGTGCACATCTCCTTTGTGAATGGAAAATTAAAGACAATCCCCAGCAGTGTAAATCGTGGCCATGCTACTCAAATTATGGACTGTCGAGTAAACACACTGTGGTCTGCACTCCCTCAATAGCAGAGGAAGAGGCAAACTACACAAACTCTCTCCTGAAGCCCTCTGGTGGCTTGCAACACTCGACATAGGCATTTAGCTCCTGAGCATATTGCCATCATATGCAAGAAATGGAATAGAGCCCACGTTAAATATTTAAACAAAATAAAAAAAGGATCAACCACGGAATGACTGCAACAAAGATATATTTTCGGATGTACCCACACCTTATTGATCAGCTGTCGGGCACTTTGTTGCCACGATTATTGCTCTTAGGTTTGTGTTTGTGCACTGCATCGCCACGTGAAACGGAGCTAACGACCGTGAAACAAACGATTGGAATGGAACAAATGTGGAAAAAAATTGGTCCAACACGCAGCTGCGTAGGAGCCGACTGAAGTGACCGCTTTGTTGCAAGAAAGAGCAATTTTGATCGGCGGTGTTGAATTTTATTGCAAGGCTGAAAATTATTGAAATTGCTGACATTGTTTCTGGCAACGTGCTCAGGATTTGTTAAAAATGTACTCGCTTCCTCAACGGTATGGACACTTGAGAAAAGGAGTTGTGCTCTCGACTCCCTGCGCCAGGCTTCAACTCCTTTCCTTTTTCACCCCTCTGCCTACGACCGCCTGTCTCCACACACAAAACAAAAAACGCACACCGTTCTCGCGCAGCGTCCCGAGGTCGCCGCTACATTTAGACGCCCTACAAATCCACGCTGCATCGCACTGCAATGAGTAGTGGGGGGCAGCCCTGCGATACTTGCTGACCTCACCGACGGCGGAATGACCCCCCGCTAGACGGAGCTCGAGACCCTTTCTAGCGTGTGCTCAGCCTACTCTTCGCTCGTCTGATGTCGCGGAGGAGGCGAGAGTGCCCACACTTGACTGTGGTGCAAACATCTATACCGCTGGGCGGAGAGAGGCGGAGAGAATCGAACAAACGTTCTCCGTTGTCGCAGCTGAACGAGATCGAACGAGCGACTTCCGGATTGCGAATGCGTTGCACGGACCGTTGCAGCACGGAGGCAATTCCTTAAAAAATATATTTTACAAAAATCTATCCCACCTCGAAGGAATCGCACTGCGTTTTCATGTAAATGTTTGCAAAAGAGCGTGCGATGGAACGTTGCAAACGCGCGCAGAATATTTCGGGCAGTTAAGCTTCTGAACGTCTTCCCCAACTTCAGTTTCGAAGTTCAACCTCGGCTCTGCCGCCGCCTACTGCCGCATGCAGAACGAAAAGTGGTGCAACTTGAAAGGGGGGGGGGGAAAAAGAGGCAACGGTTCCGGGAGAGGGCAGAGACGCGCGTGTACACTTTGGGCAAACTCACCAGCAGCCGGTCGCCCCTGAGCACGCACAGCTGCTTGGCCCACTGGCCGAACCGCTTCTTGCGGAGCATGAAGGCGCACATGCGCGAGCCCTGCGCCAGACCCAAGGACGCCTCCGGCGGAGGCCACTGAGGCGTCGACCTCTGACCCTTCCCATCGTCGTCCTCTTCCTCGTACGATTCGTACGAGCTGCTGAGGGCGTCGGAATCGTCTGGGAGGGTTGGAGGAAAGTGTGAGGGGATCGGGGGCGGAGAGGTCACGCGAGACGGCACCTCCGTTGGCGTCGCGAAACTCAACAGGAGGTGGGCGACACTTGCATTGGCAGCGGTGCCCGAGCTCCGTGAGCATTAAAAAAAAAGAAAACTCTAAACCCCTTTGAAGAAACCTGTCCTGCATCGATTCGGGAAACGGCCTGAATGTTTCACGCCGTTCTGTTTTTTGTTGTTGAATGGTTAGACCGCAATGCAGTGCACATATTGAAAATAGCATGCAGCGCGGGAAAGTTCAGTGGACGGGAGGTCACGCGAAGCGGCCCGCGTTGTAGTTTTCTGACATCGCATTCCACAGGCCGTTCCACGGCGTGGGGCGATGCGCCCCCTCTCTTTTGCGAGAACCAAACGGACAATTTTGTCCCCCTGACAAGACACCGATGGCCCAATTTGAAAAAAAAATAAAGATTGCGAGAATACGGCAGAATAGGAGCTCTTGTTCTGTACGAGGCTCACCTCTGTTGTCCGGCGTGGTGGAGTTGGGGGTCGGGGGGTACGTGGCGTCTTCGTAACAGCCTTCAGCATCCACACTGGAGGCTGTGGCTGGACTCCTGCAGTCTGGGATACGACAATGAATCGACCTTTTATTTACATGGCGCACTTCGCATCAATCGAAGACGTCCGAGAGCGCTTTACACAACGTGAAATATACACGGGAATGCCCAACGCATAGAATATATAAAATATCGACAAGGTAACGTACCCTCGGCAACATAATTTTAAGTTAATTCGTGAAAAATGAAGACCTCTGGCTAAAAGCAAGCAATAGTGCAGTAAAAGCATTTACGCATCTCGCCTCGTGTGTTTGCACCGTTGTAACAGATGCGCTTAAGAGCTCGGCTTTTTAATAAACATTTTAATTTATTTAAACTATCAATAAAATATAAAACATCGGGAACTCGCATAGCATTGCCCAGCAGCCATTCATTTTCCATTTTAACGTCATGAAAAAATGTTTCTACTGATATAGTTTTTTTTACAAACTTGGGTTTGAGGGTAAACATTATTTTTGGATTGTGGTATTTCTAAAGTTAGCACGAGAGAAAACGTACGCTTGAAAGTTAAACAGAGGGGGAAAACATTTAGACCCTTCCCAACTCACGACACACTGACGATCGCCAGACTGCGCCGATAGTTAACCACACGACATTGGAGGCTATGCCGTGGCTTTGCTTTACGAGGGACTGAAATCCCGCTCCAGAATATCCCTCAATGTTTACTACATCAGCAAAAGCCTCCTCTAATCCTCTGCCAACCGGCCCTATTTGTTACCCTCGCCTCTGCACGCAATAAAAGTCTCTCATCTCACCGAAGAAGTGGTTGAACTCTGGGAGTATTCCCGATCCAAACGAGACGGCCTCTTCGTAATGATCTTCCGGAGATGAAGGAGAGCCTTCCTCGGGATCCTGACCACACAGACGCATGCAACACAAACATCCTGTGTCCAAGGGCTTGCAGACTTTACTGTGGCAAGTGCTGTTATGACGAGCGTCTTTTAGAAGGCTGCAATAGTGTCACAAGGAGTCGGTGTTGCAAACACCGTGTCGAGACTCCCCTTTGTCTACCCCCAATGCTGAAGTGAACACAACAACCGCGCCAGGTAGCCGATCATCTAGGAGAGGGTCCCAGGCATGGTTCAGACCCCAACAGACACCATTCAGGCGCCGCTGTCCAGGTTTAAAAAAAAATCTGCACGGCTTCCGTGATCCGACGAGATTGGGCGCAAGATTTTGTCAGCTGCGTTGAACGTTTGTGAACATTTATTTAATCAACAACGCAAACTTGTGCTAGAAACATTATCCTACCTTTCCCGCTACCTCTTCCGCCCGCGGAGAATCGCTCGTTCAGACCCCCCTTGCTCCGCAGCCCCACACAGTGGGGCAGGCTGATGCTTTTGCCATCATGCGTGTGTGTGGGGTTTTTTTTTAACCCCCCAACCCATTGGAATTCTTTTTTGTAATGAAACTCAGCAGACCGACCTGCCTCCACGCTACTGCCGTACAGTGCCTGCGCCTCCCCTACGGCAACCTGCGCCGTTTGACACCCCAGAGCCTGCCGCACATTAATTTTCAAGGAATGAGATCATTGTTTTGTACGGCCCTTTTTTGACTCCACCGCCGGATGAAGGCTTCACCCATGCCTTGTCAGTCACGGGGGTGGGGGGGGGGGGGTTATTCGAGCATACTTCACCGCGCTGGTCAGTGCGGGTTGGAGGGAGGCGGGGGTGAGCTCAAGAACGGTCCAGATATCACTCGCCGCTGTAAAAGGTGATCCCAATAGAACCTTCATTTAAAATATAACACTCCCCCCCCCCCCTTCATCCCTGCAATGTGCACATCCTCCTCTTTGTACAGAGCCTTGAGATGCTGTTTCGTTTGGACGTTTTGCAAATTAAAATCGTAATCGGTTATGACGAAATGTGCATTCGACCCCTACGGGCTATCTGCCCATGGATCGTGACGACGATGATGATGATGATGTATTGGGTGGGAATAATGTCTTGCTGCCAACGATGAGAAAATCACCAGAAATCCACACGATCTCGTTCGAGCTCAAAAGCCGAGAGGGGTTCAGCCTGGATACTGCTTCCACGGGTGATCACTTTGCATATAGCAAGCGTTACAGGTTGTGTGCTCATGACGGGAGCGGTAGTGTAGCGGTTAGCGCTACGCTGCGCTATGAACCCGGCGACCCGAGTTCGATTCCCGCTCTGGGCCAACACCGGTGACGATTATCTGAGTCGGTCCCTGGCCTCCCCCTAGGTCGACTCAGCCTCAAATGAGTACCCGGTGCGGTGTGTGAACATCGCCACTAGGGAAACAAAGGTGGCCGGGGATGGTGCTAGCTACCCACCCTCTCGTGTGCCGTGCCGGCCTTCATAGGTGCTCGCTAACAGCACTTGCCCCTACAGTCTGTTAAGGCTACACGGGGGATCTTTGCTTTACACTTATGGGGCAGGGAGCAGAGAGGAGTGCGGTAAAATCCATTTCAGTGTCGTACGTCCACGCTCCCACACCTTCACCAACCCGCACTGACCAGGGTGGTGAAGTATGGTAAAGTTACAGCAGCAGCAGCAGCGTGTGGGAGACACTCATCCAGGAGTGGATTGCCGAAGCGCCGTACACTGCGTTACCCTGAAACCTCTTCCGTGATATATTTCACTGCAGGTGGGGAGAGAGAAAAGTAGCGTCTGGACGTTTAAATGACTGCAACACATTCACAATAATGGGGGGGGGGGGGTGCAGTGGTGTAGTGGTTAGTGCACGGCACTGTGAACTTAGTTGACCCTATTTCCTGCCCACGGCTAACTTCAGTGGCAAGTGTCCTGGGGACCCACCGACCCAACCATCACCAACCCGCACTGACCGGCACGGCAAAGCTGACGGCCGGCACGGAATGACGTGGACTTCATCCAGGGAGTGGATTGACAACGGGGATGCGCAATATTAATATTATTACTATTCTAAATCGTTATATTATTACAATAACTCTTTAAGCGTTCCATCGTCTGTGCTAAGTCCGACGAGGCGGCGAGCACGATGAATAGCTTACAACACTCAATTGGATGCAGACTGCAGGCATTGCAACATGGAAAGTTTATTCTCATGGATCGGCAGACAATGTCGTGGACTCCATGGGCCAAAGTTCGTGTTGCACCAAGGGTATGTTCAAACCGTACCACGAGACCCCAGGAACGCATTGAATACTACAGTCGTTGCACAGAGAGAAAGAGAGAGCGAAAGAAATAAAAAAACACCCCACCACTAAACACAGAACTTAAAAACGCAAACCATATGCCATGTTCACGACGGGCGCAAATTCTGACGTACGGTTTGTTATTAAACAACTAAAAACAAGGCCGCCAGCGCGGCCAGGCGTTTTAAGACGAGCAAGTTGCTCGGTAGTTCAAGGATCCTGGCGGCACATTTGCAAAGCCTTCGCCCGCGGATAACCGTTTATCCGCCCGTAAAAGCGGCCTGCGTTTATTGTGCCGTCTCCATTGTGCGCTTTGAGCTTGGGGCCCCGCGAAATGTGGAAGCAATAAACACCATGCAGTGGTCTGGGACTCCCTACTACTGGGACATGCAGGGCTTATTCCAGGATGCCACTTGAAAGCAGGATGAGAGGGCCCATCAAACGTTAAAAAAATATATTAATTTAATTCCTCCAAGTCAGTAATAGCCCAAAAAGTAATCAGTGAGTTAGTGCAAGGCCTGGCCAAAGAACAACGATGTTCTGAGGCACGGCACGGTCGAGGGAGCCTTCTGTCAAATTCAGTTAGAGTGTTCGTATTATTGGGTTGCTTGAGATGGGCACAGCGTTTAACGTGCTGTGCCATGAACCCGTTGACCTGGGTTTGTTTCCTGGTCCTGAGTAACATCAGTGGTGAGTTATATCTGCAGTGGTGCTGGGTATCCCGACTCGTTCACCAACCCCCCACTGACAAACGTAGTGAAGTATGGTCAAACAAACTCATGGGACTGTAAATTATTGTTTTATTCACGTAAGTTGTGATTTTTATTCAAAGCGATTTCCTGCTCAAATGAGCACTGAGGCGGTGCTCAACTACTGTTTACAGCCCTGAGCCAGTGGTTGACATTCCACATTACTATTGCAGGAGCTGGATACTCATACGACAACCACTGTTGACTTCCCCAAGAAAGGGGTACGTATTTTAACAACACCGGAGGAATTATGGGCCAAGTCAACCCCCAACCGGGGTGTGAACTCGACGCGTTCCAATTGCTCCGACGCTTAGCCACCCAGCCGGATTTTCGGACATGCATGGGGCCTTTGCTGCGAGTCCTTCCAGACAAGGCCTCAATGCCTCTAAAAAAATAATCAGGCGCTTTCAAAAGATTACGTTTTTCCATGTCTGTGAAATTACAACAACAACAAAACTTGTTTACCCGATATCCTGCACCTGTAGGCTATTTAAAAAGAGGCCGAACAATTACTGACCAATTAGAAGGTCTTCCTAAGAAAACAGACATTCCGTTTAAATATGACACTAATTTCCACAAACGAAGGTTTTGTCTGTGGCATGACAAGAAGAGCACCACGTTTACCCTGACCCAGTGCTGGCAGTTGCCCGGCAAACGAGAAGCCGTAAGTGGACAGTAATTGTGGTAATTTTATGGTAGCCTTTAACAATTTCCTCCAAGGAGGCATCCTCTAACTCGCTGGCCACCGCCACCACAAAAAACAAACACGGGGCACAAACAACGGGAGCTGGGCCGACTTCCAGCGCGCGTAGGAGGGACGGACCGAGCACGTGGACAGTGGTGCTGGGTACTCCGGTCGTGTTTGCACAAGTGGGAAAAACTTCAAAAAGCCAGCGGTGGTGAAGAAATATTCAAGAAAACGGGACAGTTCAAAGGCAGCAATCTGAAAAACATTTCAACAAAACACACATCTAAAGTAGGTGCTTGCGCAAATATTTTTGCCCGCTCAAGAATGCTTGCGGATTTAAAGCCTTTTTAAAAGTACAAAAAAAACCGACGTAAAATTCTAGCCCTGGATGTCAGGCTGGGCACACGTTCACACGCAACGACGCACGCGCAGAAAAAAAACGTTAGCTGGCAAAAGAGCAACGGCGAGTGGGAGTCCCGACTCTGCTGAACCGGCCGAGACCGTTCGGAATTCTCGGCAAACTTGCTAACCTTCCCAAGCCGTTTGCGACAGCTAGAACAGTGGTAACAAACGCAGAAGCCCACCGCTGAAATCATTCCGAGTTCAGCTGCACAACCGCAACCCACTTTAGAAGGGGGTGAGAGGGGAGGGGGGGAAAGAATGAAAAAAGCCGCAGAGAAATTTGGTGCCCGTCAAATCGCCCACAGCTTTTTGACAAGTGCAGGTCTCCGATAACGCTAAACATGTGATGGAGAATCGGGGCTTGTGCGAGATATTAACTTATGCCAAAGACACATTGACACAAATCTCAGCCGGCTCGACGCTCTGCTCCATGGTGCTGCATGCGAGGCCCTGGTGCGTTAACGCCACCCAGAACCAGACAGCGTGACCTCACTGTGGGTGCATTGATGCCACACACGGTCAGACAGCATGGCCTCACTGTGGGTGTTTCGATGCCACCCAGGGCCAGACAGCGTGGCCTCACTGTGGGTGCATCGATGCCACCCAAGGCCAGACAGCGTGGCCTCACTGTGGGTGCATCGATGCCACCCAGGGCCAGACAGCGTGGCCTCACTGTGGGTGCATTGATGCCACCCAGGGCCAGACAGCGTGGCCTCACTGTGTGTGCAATGATGCCACCCAGGGCCAGACAGTGTGGCCTCACTGTGGGTGCATTGATGCCACACAGGGCCAAACAGCGTGGCCTCACTGTGGTGCATCGATGCCACCCAGGGCCAGACAGCGTGGCCTCACTGTGGGTGCATTGATGCCA